AGCTACGGCCGTTTTTTAATTTTTATGCACCGCACGAAATTCGGCCACTTCCGGTCGACGCACAAGTTTCAAAAATAGTTTATCAAGTAGCCACCATATGGTTTCCGATAGGAAATTAGGTCCCATATCGGTATCTGTTACAGGCACTGAGAAATAGACTATGGCGAAAAAAAAAAATAATAATAATAAATAACATTTTGTGAAAATCTAATAATAATTGACTATTTTACAGGTAAAATTACGAAAACAGTGACTTATGCAGAATTGCCCATTTCTAGGTAACTGCTTATATTACAAACTAATTTTAACATACATTTTCTTCGTATGGTTTATAGCTACAAGTTTATAAAAGTTACGTAGAAATATTTTAAAATCTGAAAAGCCTGAATGGGTTGTAAATAGGTCAATTTTACACCTTTTTTCACCTCTTAATCGAATTTGCTCGAAAATGAAATCGAAATTAAAAAAAACGATCCCAACATTTTGTGCGCCTTTAAAGGGCACACTCTTTTAGTTATATCAATTTTTGACAAAAATAATATTTGCTTTCGAAAAATGGTACCTAACTGTCAAAATTGTAGTTTTTGGTAAAAATATACCACTTGAGACAACGGAGTATATGAACTTTGTTTTATACAAATCGAGCAATAAATAATTAATCTAGGACTGAAAAACTGAATTAGCAAATGGCGCCCAAGGAAAATTACTGAGACAAAAATATATCACATTTTTGCCCAAGTCAGATGACTCGTTAATTTTGTGTAAAACACGACTAAAAAATATTCATAAATAAAACAGTTTTTTGTAAAAATTTGAATTTTCAAATTTCGAACGACAAAAGCCATAGATGAATGTTCGAAATTAAAAAATGTGAGATAGCCATTGTCTCGAAAAAGATTCAGGGTTTCCAAAAATGTGAATTGTTTTAAAATAGGTAAAGAATAGGCGAAATCACGGTCGATTTAGCCAAAGTCAACTAAGAGTTGCACCCCTTCCCACAATAAATCCCATAATTCTTGCATTGATATAAACAAACCTGAATCGTGACGACGAATTAGGATCAATTTTAAAAGCATAGATATGGCCCATGAAGAGAGAACTTTTACCAAAAAAAATGAGTGTTAGATATTGAACTGGCATGCAATCAAATGGATTTTTTGAAATGACATTCTTAAATTAATTTCGTGGGAGTAAACATCTGGTTTTAAGAGGAGTTACCTCCCTTGGATAATGTAAAAGACCGGATTATCTAGTGGGAGAAAACCCATGCGTAACCGGGAGTTTGGTATTTAATGCGGTTGATTATCCAGTCTCTTTAGCCAAAGTCAACTAAGAGTTGCGCCCCTCCCCACAATAAATCCCATCATTCTTGCAAAGATATAAACAAACATGAATCGTGAAGACGAATTAGGATTAATTTTAAAAGCATAGATATGGCCCATGAAGAGAGAACTTTTACAAAAAAAATTGAGCGTTAGATATTGAACTGGCATGCAATCAAATGGATTTTTTGAAATGACATTCTTAAATTAATTTCGTGGGCGTAAACATCTGGTTTTAAGAGGAGTTACCTCCCTTGGATAATGTAAAAGACCGGATTATCTAGCCAATTTTTCTCAAATATTGACAACGGATCCAGACTAATATTCGTAGAATATTTTTCTGGATGATAGAGACTAATAATTAGTAGCCGGATTCCACCGTGCTTAGAGATAGTTACCTCCCTAATACCCTTATAGTATAGATACAAATATAACGATTTTTCGACTTTTTTTTCAAAGATTGGGGCCCTTTTTGGAACATTTATACTATACTGATGTCCAAAAGAAAGTATACACACTAAAAATATGTCTAAGTTTTGTTTAGATTAAAAACAATTGATAAAACATTACTGAGCTTGTCTCTTGCATCCAAACTCAACATTTCTAAGCAACAAAAGGTGAAACAAATTGAAATTGTACCCAAATACCGCATAGAATGGAAAAACGACTTTAGTTGATGCAGTATGAAATGCACAGCGTATACTTTCTTTTGGACATGAGTATATATTGAGGCTAGACCACCCTAGGACTCCAAGTAACAGAAGTTTATGAAATGAATTAAGAGTAGTTTGCGAAATAAAAGCGTCTGGATAGGCTCCAAAAAGGAAAATACAAGATTTTCAGCGTCCCATAATGTATTGCCTAACCAGCAAATTTTTACCATTTAGATGTCATAAAATCGTCCATTGATCAAGACATACAATGATACTTTAGTTGTTTTGATTCGGTGAAATGTGGCACAGTAACACTTTTTCACAAGATCACCACTTCTTTTACTTTTTACGTTTTGTTTTCAAAACAATCGGATATTTTTTCGACTACTTCCGGTTTTTGGATCATTATCGAGATAGTTTTAACAATTTGTTTAGATACTTAACTTTCTGTCACAGAAGTGTCAGAAACATCTATTCAGTAGTTTTTTGTAAAAAAGATAAATAAAAGAACATTTTCAATAATTTAACGATTTTTCAACTTTTTTCAAAGATTGAGGCCATTTTCGGACCCCTTATATTATTTCAAACCTTTTCCTTTTGGATTTCGGTGTTGTCGTTTTCGAGAAAAAGACGTCTAAAAAGGCTCCAAAAACGGAAAATACTAGATATTCGGCGTACCACAATTTATTTTCTAACCATCGAAATCGTACAATTGAGATGCCATATAATAGTCCATTAATGGGGCTATCCAACGACACTTTACTTCTTTTGGTCCGGTAATATCTGACCGAGAAATCCCGCTTTTCGCAAGAGCGACAATTTTTTAACCTTTTTTTTGGTCATTTTTTGAATACTTCCGGTATGGAGATTATTGTCGGAATAGATTTAATAACCAGTTTGGGCAATGAAATAGCGGCAGGGCTCTGTAATGATATATTACATTATCTGATCAGATAAAATGACCCTGAGAAATCATATGTTCAAAGGTGCCAAAAATGCAAAAATGTCAAAATATCGAAAATTAAATTTCAATAACTCAATACATATTATACATCGTTAGAATCGTAATTAGGTCAGCTATCCGAATCTGTAATCTTTTTGTAAAAATTTGTTTAAAGAATAAAGTAATAGAGCATTTTGCAAAATTTCACGATTTTTCGACTTTTTTCGATTTTCAGTCCCTTTTTTTATCATATTTCAGACATTTCAAAGTCTTATTGGATGGCATAATTCACAAGACTATCGAATGGACTCTCGATAGAGAAAGTTAAAAAAAAGTTGCCGTTAAAATTTCGAGATACAAGCGTCCAAAAACGCCCCAAATCAGAAAATACTTGATTTTCAGCTTGTCATTTTTTGCTGCTTGGTCATAGTATCCGTATAAATTGGGCATCATACGACAGTCCATTCCTCGGGCCACTCAACGAAAGCTTAATTCGTTTAATCCATTGATATTGGACGGAGAAATCGAGTTTTTCCCCAAAACACCCATTTTTTGCTTTTTTTTCGAAATATCTATTATTATTTCGACTACTTCCGGTTCCGGATCGTTTTTGAAATTGCTTTATGCAGCGGTCTGACTATATAGCTTTATGTTCCAGGACTTTCAAAACTATCGATTTATCCTTTCCAAAAAATATAAGGGTTGGGAAATGGGCAGAAAATTCGAAAAAAATCGAAAAATAAAGGGCAATAACTCGGAATGAAACTTATATTTCTGGAATCGGATGGTCTTCAGGTATCCAAAAATGTAGGTCAATTTTGAAAACTTTGAAAAATAACAAAAATTGTCTTTTAAACAAAATTTTTCATTTTTCGAACGCTAGAAGTCAGCGACGAAGTTTCGAAATTTCAAAATTTTCAACTGCTATCGTCCGAGGAAAAGACTCAGGGTTTCTGAAAATGTCATTTGTATGAAAATAGGTACAGAATTGACGAAGCTACGGCCGTTTTTTAATTTTTATGCACCGCACGAAATTCGGCCACTTCCGGTCGACGCAGAAGTTTCAAAAATAGTTTATCAAGCCACCACATGGTTTCCGATAGGAAATTAGGTCCCATATTGGTATCTGTTACAGGCACTGAGAAATAGGCTATGGCGAAAAAAAAAAAAATAATAATAAATAATAATAATTTTAGTAATCACAATAGGCCTTCAGACGAAAGTCTGAAAGCCTAATAATAATTTTAGTAAAAACAATAATAATTTTAGTAATCACAATAGGCTTTCAGATAAACATTAATTTTCTCATAATTAAACATGAATTATGCAAGGGCTAAATCTGCCTATTGCAGGTATTTGGTGAGGCCATAACTGTTATCTAAAATATTAATTAGGCATTAATTAACATATCAAGACTCTAATCCACTCTCGATGCCATCGTTAGCCTGCGATATTTAGTGGGTTTGAATATGTTTTGTGATGGATAATTTAACGTAATTGTGGATAATCGAGACGTTGTTTATTATCGTACCAACGGCAGCCATGAAGATCGTGGCTAATATCTCGGTTCAGACTTATCGTGTATTTCGCCAATATATAACTGATTTGAAATTAGAGTATAAACGGAAACAATTGAATTAATCAGTTTATATAAATTATATTACATTATTATATGCGTTGCGACACATTTATGTCAATTTCTAGTTCACAAATATTAGCGATTTAGCTCATTTAAAATATATCCACCACAACCGTTAACCGCGAGATTTCCTTTTTTAAGGTTTTCGTTTGTTTACTCAGAGATGCGTCGAATTTAGCACCAGTTCAAAGGTTTTGTAACGGAGTAACATATGGTTTACGATGATGTGTTAATTAAGGCACAGTTGGAATAACATACTGAAAATAACCAGAATATCATATAATCCGTATTGATCCACTATACGTCAAAATACATTATCTAACATTTTCTATGCCTTTGTGTGCTTTTTTAGACGATAAATGTTATTAATATAACAAAAGAAGTTTTACAATATGAAATAAACAACATCTGTTTCCATTTCATTCGCTTTATAAGTTATGATATCTTATTTAACAGTTAATACATTTTGATTATTTTAAAGCGTTAAGCAGCAATTTTCCAAAATGCGTCTTCTGTTGTTAGCAGCCTTCTTGGTTACCGTCTTTGTTGTATCAGATGCCCATAACGGAATCCGAAATCGAATACCATGCCGTAAAGTGAAACATTTATGTGAAAAATGTTGTACTCGTAAGTTATTTTCTTTGTGTTATAAATGTAAGCTGTTTAAATCCAGGGAGTCAATAAAGACTGTTGATCAGTGGAATTCGCCGCTGTTACACAAAAGTAATCAATTTGATCAATTAATTTCAGAAAAGAAAATTCTAACAACCATTGAATTGATATATGTTGGCTATAACAGACCCCGAATACAATCTAACTAAAAAATTGCATCTTATTATGATGGCTGAAAAGGGACATGAAAAATAATATCATTTATTTTTTTTAATATTCACCTAAGTCAATTTTAATATAATTTTTTTTTTTATAATTTTCACCCAAGTCAATTATAATATATATATATATATATATACACAAAAATATAAAAGTTTTTGAAAAAAGAACTACATTATTTGTCGATTACTAGCACTTTCGCTTATTTTATTAAGCTCTTCAGATAATCAACGAAAGTGCTAGTAATCGACAAATAATGTAGTTCTTTTTTCAAAAACTTTTATATTTTTGTGTATCTAATACCTAAGAGTAGTTATCTTTAACTTTTTATATATATACTATTCAAAAAAAGTAGGGGATATTTGATTTTGGGGGCATAATACTAAAATATGCAAATGACTACGAAAAAAGTCACTATAGAACCTAACAGAAGAAACATTTCCAGTTACATGTGACGCCCAAACGCACCAATAGCTACCGCATGGAATGCAGGTGATGCTTGGGATCATCATGGGGGTCCAACCCAAGATTTGCACGACTCTGACTTTGAATGTTACAGTCATTGTGGCATTGAATTCCAGGGTGGAAACATCAGTTTAATTGTTTTAGTGACCAGAAAACAAATTTTGATATGCGTCGGCTTACCCAAAATGAAAGGTTACGTGCCCTTGGCATGCTACAGATCGGCACAACACAGGCGGTTGTGGCGCGGACGATGAATGTTTCTCAGTCTGTCATAAGCAGGCTATGGTCCAGATACCGTGATACACAATCTGTACAGGACAGACCACGCTCAGGTCGACCAAGGGCGACAACTCAAGCCCAGGATCGATTTATCCGTACCTTGGCCTTGAGAAATCGTGTCATCACAGCAAATCAGATCAGCGCTCGTCTTCAAACAGACACTGGTGTGAGAGTGAGTGGCCAGACGATTCGGAATCGACTGCATAGGGGTCACCTTCGCGCCCGACGTCCTCGCGTGATCCCTTGTTTGAGAGATCATCACATTCAGGCAAGACGTCGTTGGTGTAGGGATCGTCAACACTGGGATAATCGACGCTGGAGCAATGTGATGTTTTCAGATGAGTCAAGGTTCACTGTTGATTTTTTGGACAGACGTAGGAGGGTGTGGCGTCGTCGAAACGAGCGCTTCCAAGACGTTAACGTCATCAGACATGATCGATTTGGGGGTGGTTCTGTTATGGTGTGGGGAGGCATCACTGTTGCTGGAAGAACCGCTTTACATGTTGTTGCAGGGCGTGTTACAGGCCAGTACTACCGGGACAACATCTTGGCAGTCCATGTTGTGCCGTTCGCACGACGTCATAGCCGCCGTTTCATCTTCCAGGATGACAACGCAAGATGTCACAGGGCCAGGATCGTTACAGGTTACCTCCAACAACAGAACATCACCACATTACCTTGGCCAGCACTGAGTCCCGACCTCTCCCCCATCGAGCATGTCTGGGACATGCTTGGACAGAGGTTATGTCAACGTCAACAACGTCCTGCCAATGTCCAAGAACTTGCTGCTGCGTTGCAACAGGAATGGGACAATCTGGACCAAAATGACCTTAGACGTCTCATTAGGATATGCCACGTCGGATCAATGCTTGTTTGGCAAACAGAGGAGGATTTACCCGTTACTGACTTGGTTGTGATGCTGTGGTAACTTTGCTGTTTGACCCCGGGTATCATTTTACCCTTATAATGGTCAGTCTGTGCCTTACTTAGTCTAACGATCATTTGGAATAAATCGATGAATGTGAACTTCATTTCATTTTGTCATTTGTTTCTTCGTCAGTTTCATTAGGTGACTTTAATAACACTTAAAAATCAAATATCCCCTACTTTTTTTGAATAGTATATATATATATACATATATATATATATATATATATTTAACTTTTACCCATTTTAAAAATTTCACCATGTCAATTTTAATTTCCACCCAAGTCATTTGTAATATAATTTGTTTTTCATAATTTCCACCCAAGTCATTGGGAATATAATTTGTTTTTGACAGTTTTTATGGAAGCGTAAAGGGGTCAGGCAAAATTTTGTAGAAGGTCTCGAGATCCTGCGATCCTGTGATACTTTCTCGAAATCCCGTGATCACCTGGTAATTTTCTCGAGAGCTCAATGTTCTCGAAATCCCGTGATAATTTTCCTGAGATATTGACATCCTGTGTAAATTTTCTTAAGAATTCGAGTTAATGTTCTCGAGATAGTGACATCTTGGGTAAATTTTCTCGAGATCCGAGTTAATATGAAACCTCATATGATAGTGTCTCCGTGTTGTGATGCAACCATTGGCTCAATACTTCGCACCAAATTTGATAAAAAAAAATACTCTAACATTTGTTGCAAAGGAAAACTGCTAACTAATGGAAGAATAAACGGACAGTCGATAGGGTACCCATGATTTACACTAAATTTGAAAAATGATTAAAATCAATACGGTTCATCGTCTAATGGCCCAAATACTTAACACCAAATCGTCCAAATATGAAATTCAAAACCCTACCACGTTAGCTTTGAATTACAGACATGCTTGTTAAATTATTTCAATTTAATGTTTAGGCGACGTTTAATAGAAAATGTCATGTTTTGCATTGTTTTCAGACCATATTTTGTTTTAGAATAAAGCTAGACACAAAGTTTATTGTCTTGTGGCACAAATGCTTCGGGGCTGGTTTTAAATCAAAAAACTTGAAAAACTCTGGGCTCTAACGCGTTCACAGGGTTTTCCGGAAAATAGGAATAACGCCATAACAAAACGCCTGGGATCGCTGCAAATCAATAAGGTTCATTGTTTCGAAGAAAATAAATAGAGTTCCTCTGCTTATGACACTAATGATTCAAAAGAAATTTGAACGATAGCAACGCAAAGTATGGAGATACGCCCACGCAACATCTATGTCTCAACAGCAGATTATTCGAAAGGAAAATAAATTGGATAAGAGTCTAGCATTCTTCAAGAAATCTAATCTCTCGTGTTCACGTGCTTGTTATATTTCTGGGACAAAAAACCTGATATTGCTGAAAATTAACAGGGGTTATCCTTGTCGCGGAACACTGGCTATCGAAAATACGTTAAAAACAAGGTTTTCAAAGAATGGAGAGTAGAACTCCGGAACGGAAGATCGCTAACCATTGAATATCAATAAAGTTCATGACCCCAAAGCTTCATACAAAATTTTAAAGTGAAGCCTCTATGGCGTGAACAATGCTTCCAGGAAACGGGCGGGGAGGGATGTATATTAAGAAACAGAAGGTCACAGAATGCTGAATATCGATAGTGTTCGTCCTCTCATCGTCACATATTTTAAGAATACAAAGTGGGTAACTCTCGAACAGAAGTTTGCGGAGTACTGAAAGGTCCTAGTGCTTCACACCAAATTTGAAAAACAAAATCGGTTAAACACTGTGGCCTCTATTGCGTTAACAAGTTTTCCGGATAAGGGGAATAACTCCAGAACGATAAGGTGCGCTAGAAGCGAAAGGGGCCGTCCTCTCATGGCCCCAGTGCTTTACACTAAATTTGAAACAAATCCGTTAAAAACTGTAGGCTCTATCGTGCTATTAAGGTTTTCGGGAAAGTGTGTGTGTGTGTTTGGGGGGAGAGGGGGCGAAACGACAAGTTGTAGGGCGCTGAAAATACGTTTAAACTACGCGCACACATAAAAATACCCGAGATCTCGAGAACATATACACAGGATGACAAGATCCCGAGAACATTATCCCGAATTCTCGAGATCGTTAACACAGGATGGGAGATTCTCGAGAAAATTATTAGGCGATTTCGAGAATATTAAATTGAGATCTCGAGAAAATATCACGGGATCGCAGGATCTCGAGGTCTTCTAGAAAATTTTGCATGACCCCTATACGCTTCCGTAAGTTTTAACCGAAGTCAATTTTAATTTCAACCTAAGTCATTGGTAATATAATTTTTTTTTTATATTTTCAACCAAGTCATTTGTAATATAATAATGGGCCTATTCTTCTTCAAAATCCCGTTGCTGGTCTTGAAAGTAACAGGGGCGGGGGCTTTCGGGTGGGAAAATAAACGAGCGCGGTCGACACAATCTTAATCGGGATCTAACAGTGAATGTATTGAAATGAAATGAAATGGGGGTTTAACGTCCTAGTGTTCTGTTCCGATTGGGCTAATGAATGCAATGTACCAGAAGTGAAATTTTGCTCTGACAGCGGCACTATGAAATCTCTTATACGAAATTTCAACTGTCAAGAGTTATTTTACTGCATGCCAATGTGTACTAGGGACCTGGGTATTGATATCAGCATGCACCCATCATAGCCAATGCTAACGAACATCCAGACATCGAATTCAGCGCACAGTGTGTTGAAAAGAGATAACAAAAACAACTTGGCCTATGTGCAGTAATGAATGATGGATCACACATATGGCACTTACTACAGGACACAAACACAGAGAGCCTTGCCATGAAGTCAAAATGCCCTTTTCTTACTGGACACAGAGGGTCCCTTTTCTTAAACGTTGGGCCCTTAAACTGGATTCGGCGCTTCCTTTCAGTTTATTTTTTGGAGATTTTCACAAAATTCGTTTATTTCACTTGAATCCAGATTTTGGGGCAAAGCAGTCACTCTACACAAACTAAGTCATTTCAGGACTATCATATGACTCTATTTCATTTCAATAGCCAGCGTGTGCGTAGATGTCTTTAGTAGTGGGAGGAAACTTGACTACCCGGAGAAAACTCACGAGGTTGGACAAACAATCATACTCCTTGTCGCATTTAACTAATTCA